AAGATATCAATTTGAATACATATTCATAGTCTAATTATGATAAAGAAACAAATTAGATACATGTATGTATCTTTTACATAGTTATCAGCAAAAGAGGTGGCACATATTTTGTTTACATATGTCGTACAATATATATCTAAATTATAAGTGCACATAAACAGAAAATAAAATAATTCATATAAGATTATAGCGCTCACTGTAAATCAAACAATGAATATAAATAGATGAAAATTTGAATACAGGTTACTAATAATTTAATATATCTTCCATATTTTTAACTTATAATAATATATAAATTACACAAAGTAACTATTATTTTAATAAACATTCTCATGTATCAAAATTATGTGGAATTCGAACATGTAGTCAAACTTTAGTACACACAAACAGAAGGACTGAAATGTCTTCCTAGCAAAGCGAAGTCTAAAAGATATAACAGGTTGTATACTTCAGCAACTTTGACTATTTACATGGAGGTACAACTCAATTTGTTCATCAAACTTTTTATCTCCTAATAAAATTATCTTCTGAATCATCTGGAAAGTTAGTCAATAAATTATATCATAAGACAAAAGTGTGCTCTTTCAAACTAAACCAGTTAGGGACACAAATAAGAACAGAGAAAAATCAAAAGGAGACTTATTGAGATGTAGTCATCAAACTATCATCTATAAATTTAGATAATCGAAAATCAACTAAGAAATAATATTCTGAGATATGAGTCTGCTCTCTTTTCTAAAAGAGAAAACATCATTTTTTTTCGAAAATAAGAGGAAGACAAAACGGTCGAAAAAAGGTAAGGCAAAAAAGGACACTTACCAATGGTTGAGATGAAGGTCGTATTGAAAGCATCTTCGGAGAACCTGAAGAGGACGCACGTCTTGCCGACCCCTGAGTCACCAATCAGTAACAACTTGAACAAATAATCATATGTCTTCGCCATACCCTTTGCTTTCAGTCCCTCTCTTTTTCACGTGTTTCCCGTCCACAGTTCTTTTATTCTTTCTTCTATCCGTTCAGTCTCTTCGATGATCTTTCCGAGTGATCGTGATCCTTGGAATTCCGATGACGCACCCTTCAAACTTAAAACGAGCGCACCTCACGTCGTGGCTCTGTTTATCACGACAAGATCGGACTTACAGAAGACGCGGAGAATGGATTATCACTGGAATCTGTTCGGATAGGGCAAAATTCGCGTAATAGGGCACGTAAAAACATCTGTCAGAAAAAGCGATGACAGCCATCGGTAAGTACAACTTTTTCTCTGCTGTTGTGGCCAGCCTTCTGACCGCACCACAGGTGATGCGCGCGTGTGTACACGCATACGCAACACGTGTGTCGGCCGCAAGCCTAATTCTCATGAGAAAATATGATATTGTGCGTCCTCATGAAATCTACGTTTCCGTTTAGACAATGTACAAGTCAATTTATAAACTGCATACATAATTTCATAAACTACTTTCAACAGGAATACATTGAATATTTCTGTAAAAGATTAGCGTTATTTAATTAGTTTAATACTGAAACGCTTGATTATGTGCATACGATATTCAATTCAATTAATTTTTTTTTAACTTTTATACCATCTGTATCGTACTGCATAGTTCCATGATTTTAATTCACCAATCAAGCGACGTAAATAAAAACCTAACTTTCAAATTGTTAGAATTTATTGGAAGTCACGTTTCTTTCGAAGGAATAAAAGCGTGTTTGATTACATGTTGTTACATTATATAAAATAAAATAATCGAAGCTAAAATGGGGAAACGAAAAGTATCGAAGAAAACGAAAAAGTCGTGGCGTAAACATGTGGATGTAAATGATGTCGACAAGTTCTTGGAGGATTCCCGACAGCAGGAGAGGTTGGGTTCATTTTCGAATCGTAAGAATTCCGATTTATTTGTGATTTCTACAAAGCCAGAAATTCTTCCGAAGAAAGCACGTCGCGAATTATTACAATCCAAGGAAGCACGATGTTTCAACGCTTTGAAATCTCACTCAGCGGTTCCGGATCCGATTGCAAAAAGAAATCGTGTCAGGACGAAGGAAGAGAGGAAGGATCCTCGTGTTTTGAAAATAGAAGCTCTTAAGAAGGCTCAGGGTATTGTAAAGTTGAAAGAGAGATTGAGGTTAAAAAATAAAGCTATCGCGGCAAAAAAAAGATTGATTAGGCCAAAAAGAGGTGAGTTTACAACTGACGCGTGGGAAGTGAAGACTGATAGTGGAATTAACACCGAATGGATGGATCCGGATACTGTAAGGCATACAATGATACATTTCGGTGTAAAAAAGAAACGATTGCCTACTTCATTACATAAGAAACCTTCCGTCATACCAGCAATTGAGATACCACATCCAGGAACATCTTATAATCCCTCTTATGAAGATCATCAGAAGTTATTGCAAGAAATTGCAGAAAAAGAATTGGAATTAATGAAAGAAGAGAAACATTTGGAAAGGGTTACCACAAAAATGTTTAAGAAGGTATTATTAAATAAATAATAATTGATTATATATAAAGCTGTATTTATTTAATTCTTTTGTTATAGGTGTCACTAGTAGAGAGGGAGAAAAACTTTATAAATGAAATGTCAGAGGGTTTGAATCTAGAGAATGAAACTACGATTGAAGACAGTTATGAAGATACAGAGGTAAAATCTGTAAATCCTCCAGTAAAAAATGTAAAGAAAACTCGTGTCCAAAGGCGTAAACAGAAGGAACAGAGAGAGTTAGCTCATAAGATTCAAAAGGAGAAACTAGAGAAGAAGAAAGTTGCAGACATTTACAAGTTGAAACTAATAAGTAAGCAATTGACTAAAAGGGAAAAGAAACAGGAACAACTGAGGCAAAAGAGGATGAAGAACAAAATCCTTAAAGCAACAGGTACTAAAGTACTTGGTCGAGTTAAATTTGAGCCTCTTGATCCTGATTTCATATTATCAGATGAATTAACCGGAAATTTGCGAAATACTGCACCAACTGGTAATTTATTGAAAGACAGATTCAAATCTCTTGAGCAAAGGAACATTGTGGCTCCTTCTGTAATTAAACTGTAAGTATATATAATTTAAGTATATATAATTAGATATTTGTTGAATAATAATTTACTAAACAAAATCTCTTCTTTTTCCAGAACACGAGATAAGGCGAAAATGAAACGGTATATAAAACCCGATCACAAAATCGATATGTCAAGTGTAAAAGTGTGAAGTATAGGTAGATTAATTTTTATAAAGTCATGTACATTATATAAATAATAGTAAAGTAATAGTAGTGGACTTCATCCTTCTGCAATAACAGGCGATTGTTCTTCCTCATCTAAAGAATCAGTCTCGTTATCTAATTCGTATTCCTCTTCATCAGATAACAACATAATATCAAAAATTTCATCCAATTTTTTTTTACCAGGTGTACTACTTTCAGTGGATATATCAATTTCCTCTTCTTTTGAACTTTCTGATGTTATCTGACGATGATACAATTAGAAATAAAAATGGAACATTTATAGTATGTCTATACAATGAAATGAAATTTCAGTTACTTTATCTAAAATTGCTCTAGACGACAGTGTTGAATTTTCAGACGGAGTCAGTATTTCAAAATCAATATCTTCAGGCACATCTTTTACATCTTCCGCGCGACATTCTGTTTCTCGTGGAATACTTTCAATCCTGAGTATCAAATGTTTTAATTATTTTTCTATATCTCAGTCCACACTTGTAACTTTTACTACTACTTACGATTTGAACGTATTGCATCGAATTCTTAATAGACCTTTTGAAACTTTACATTGGAAACATAAAAGCAATTTAGGATAATTTGTTTGAATTGTGGGGCACTGTGAAATATTAAAAACATTCTTTTATCTATGTTCTAAATCAAAATATGTATGTAATATACGTTTATGTAAAATACCTTGAGCAGACGGGCTACAGCGTATTTCACGTCGTAAAGTGTCTCTACGGCTGCTTTTATTTTACACTCTAACCTTCTTTGCAAATACTTTGCAATATTTATTTTCAGTTTCTCTTTATGCAGTAAAGTGCGTACTTTTGATAAAAGAAATTCTGTAGATCGTTCCTTCCAGCGTATATTTTCGATTGTTAGTAATAGTTTCGATACTGTTGTAGGATCAGGAACATTAATATCAGACAAAAGGTCTCTCATTTGTTCGAATTTGCTTTGTAAAGCTTTCAATACTGAATTTTGTACTTTGAAAGTCACTATATTACGTTTCGTATTGGAACATTTGGTGGTAATGCTCTTTCTGTGTATTGCAAATGTATTTCTGCAAAATGTAATTGTACAAGAATGATATTTCAGAATTGACTTTAATGGAACATTACTTGTAATCAGTTCCAATATTTCTTTTGACTGTAACTTCTTTAGACAATTGTAACAACTCTTTCTGTAACATTATATTTTCGCGCATTAATCTTTTATTTGGGAGGCTTATGAATTTATTAGTTTCAATCTGGAAGTGTGCTGCTAAATCAAGAAGGTATTGATATAATTCAAGCTTGAGCCTGGAATAATGAAGCTTTATCAGTTTTTATCTAAAGTAACTCTCTGATATATTTGAGTAAAGCAAAGATAATATGATACATTTCTTGATCAAATTCGAACTTCCGTCTAATTTCCTCCAGAATGTCTTTCACTTCTTCCTCATATTTTATCATTCGTTCCTTATTTTCTTCCAACTTTTCTTGCAAAGCGTTTTGCACTTTTTTAAAATCATCTAAACTATTAATTTTTGCATCTACAAAAATAATATTTGTTTATCAATAGAAACAAAAGAGATTGAAAAAATAAAGATCTTCAGTAGTTACTCAAAATTTTTATTTGCGAAACTAGTACTAATTTCTTCTGCGTGTATTTCTGTTGGCATAATTGCATGACATTAATATGAGTTTCCTTGTCTTGTATTCGAGCATTTTCTAATTTGTTAATATTATTTTTTAATGTATCGATCCTATTATTTTGCGAATTAACTTGTTTAGACAAAGTTGCAATTTCATCAGCTGTTTCTGCATCCACTGTTAACAGATGTTCATTGGTAGTTTCAACTTCTTCTGATAATTCACCATTTCGATCATTTAATCTGAATATTTTTAAATATTAACTAATTATTTTCATAAAATTTTTCTTCATTTTGTACATATGTATAGAACTTTGTATGTAACTGAAGCAGAGATAAAAATATTTACAGAAAAATGTTTTAAGGGATAATGAAAAATAACATAGTTTCATTTTTAACCTTTTTATTCTACTTTCAATATCTTCAATTCGAATATCGTAAAATGCTTTTTGCATATTAATAATTGTCGGTTGAGCCTTTGCCACTCCATTTTCGTAAGATTGCAATTTCAGTGGCAATGATATATTTCCTTTGTCCCGTCCTTGTAAGTCCACCATTTTTAAAGATACCATACAATACTCTAAGTATCTTAAAAATTAATTAGTTTTGTGCATATAATGATACACTTTAGTTAAACTGAAAATATCAGGATTCAATTACACATGTTGATATTGACGATGTTTTCGACATGAACGTTGTAACGAATATAAACCAGACGACATTCTAATTATTTAAAACTTGCAAAATCTTATGCTACATACTATAATTATTAATAAAGGCAAAACAGTATATATAAATTATTGTCAGAATATTTAAATAAAAAATTTAGCGCGCCATTATGGACTTTGCTCGCGAAGTATTTTGAAGTTGATGACTTCCCGCTTGATTTTTAAAACTAATGATACAAAATTACATTTCATTAAAAGTTATACGTTATAAGTAAAATACAGAAATATTTAATTATATATTATCATTTATTTAAATTGTAATAGTGCATTTTCGAATGTTACAATTTACATTATGTTGTATACATGTACATACATACATGTGAGACGATATAAATTCCAATTGACACATTTTATTACATTGAAAATCATCTTTATCATTTATACAAAGAGTGTTATTACTTTATTTTTTCATAAATAATATTTCATGATGGTTCATTGTTTCTCAATGGTTTTAAATAAATATTAGCTATAACAGTATCTACTAACATTTCCTGTTAAGATGACCTAAGCATTTTTATATGTACTCATCTCTACCTTTTATTAATTTATCTTTTATTTTTACATGTCGATGCATACAAATTCTATGGTAATGTGTATGTAATTCGCATATGTATGTACATGCATCATATTGGTAGCAATGAATTGGTGACAAATAAAAAGATGATTATTGTTGTCACCTGATAAATAAAATAATATCTTTATTTAAATTCACAACACATTCTCTCTGTGTTCGACGCAATTGGAAGTATAATTTATTAGATTTTCATTAGCATATATATGATAAATGTATTGTGTTGATTATTTAGAGGTTAGGTCACCGAAGGATTAGGGTACGTGTTGTGCGTAGAGAAATAATTGCGCATTGTCAATAGTAAGATTGTGTTTCATTGTACTAGAACTATTATGTTTATGTTTATCGAAATACTTAAGTGATATTTACATGATTTGCAGCTAACTTCAATTATTTAACGCACAGAACTTACAGATACTAAAATTTTCGAAAACAAACATACGAGAAACAGCTGATTCGTTGATAGTTAAGTGCGTAATGTTCTCACACGTTTGATAAACGAACAAAATTGTAAAACAGTGCCGTATTAGTATGTAAAAAACAACATTGTTTTCGGCAATGACGAGAAATCATTAGGGTGATAACCAAAGATGTTCGTTGACGTGTCTCAATGACGTAACGTTGTCTTTCTGTAACGAAAGTTCGAATTCTCGAGAAACATACCGCAAAATGAATTCAAGAAGGTTCTTATCAAGCTGTTCGAACTAAAAGTAAGAAAACAAATATCTTTTTTCACGTTGGACTAATTCTTTTTTTATCGTTATTCAACGTGGGTGCAAGTTTAGGTTAGAGGGCAGAGAGAATTCATATTTTCGAAATTACCGTATACAAAGTTAATGTGTCAGATGTAGTTGGCAAGTTGAAGTGTTTCTGTTGGTGTATCTACGAAATAAAAATTTTAGTTTATATATTAAACAATTTTCCATATGAAATATTTTTTTAGTAATCTTTTTATAATAATTGACTGTAGCAGATTTTTATTTAGTATTAAATTATGTACTTCTTTATTGTGACCATCTGCTTTTTGAAAAGTTTGCACATGTGTAAATTTAAATAAGTTTTCCATGTATGAGTAAAGAATTAATTTGAATATGTACGTGAGATATTCTAATAGTATATATATATATATATAAACAAAGTATTTTAATCAATCTTGAATTACTTAAGATATTTGTATAATATATAAATATTTTTATTTTTCTTAAGGACAGTTCAACAGAAGAAGTACAAATCACAATTAAGCTGTCAAAATGAAGCTAAGAAAAGAGTTATTGTTACTTCTGCTTGTTATGTCTGTTGCGTCCGAGTCAGAAGATCCAAAAAAACAATCAGAGACTTCTGACGAAGAGCCAGAGGAAGATGTTACTTTGGGAGAAAGGGGGCTAGAACATCTGCGTCAACTAAAGGATGTACATGATACTATGCTAAAAATTATACAATCTAATAGACTCTCATATCTTAGAGAGGAGATGACAAGAAGAAAAGAAGAGGTAGAAGAAGAGCCGAAAACTAAGGAAGAAAGTTCCACAATGAGAAATGTATGGACAAAGACAAGGATAGCACAGACTAAGAATATAGATTTACCAAATAGTAATTTAAGACTGGAGGAAGAAGAGACAGAGCCATGGAATGAAGAAGAGCAACTTGAGTCTCTAAGTGAAGAGACACCAGAACCACTTACTCCGGAGCCACAAGAAGGTATTTTCGTAAAAGATGCAAACTAAAATAATATAAATATTATCTTAATTTAATACTTCTGTAATTTAACTTCCAGCGGAGCAAATGTTTAGGAAAGCACAGCGTCTCTTAAATGCCACACGTTCTAACAAAGCAGAAGCTTATGGATTATTAAGAGCAGCAGCAGCTCTTGGTCATCGTGAAGCACAATCCATGTTGGCATGGGCCCCATTGCTTGGTCCGACTTACTTTTTGGTATCTAGTCAGATTGTTTCAGCTGTTTATCAAACATTTAAAGAACTTGCTGAAACTGGACTACCTTCTGCTCACATGGTATGAAGAAATTTGTACTTGTATTTACTAGTCAGCATTCTTCCTGTAAATTCTGAGTTACAACCTTCTTGTTCAGGGCTTAGGATTTTTATATGCAACAGGACTAGGCGGAGTAAATGCTTCGCAAGCTAAAGCACTTTTACATTACACAGCTGCAGCTCTCGGCGGAGATACACGTGCACAAATGTCCCTTGGGTATCGTTATTTGGCTGGTGTCACGACGCCAGCTTCATGTGAAAATGCTTTAAATTTTTATCGTAAAGTTGCCGACAAGGTCGCAGAAGAGGTTTCGTTCAGTGGAGGGCCAGTTATTCAGCGAGTCCGACTTTTGGATGAACAAGAGAATCCTGGATATAACTCAGGAATGTATGATCAAGATTTAATAGAATATTATCAATTGCTAGCGAAGAAAGGAGACATAGAGGCTCAAGTTGCATTAGGACAGTTACATTATCAAGGTGCCAGGGGTGTTCCATTAGATCACGTGAGAGCCATGCACTATTTCCAGCATGCTGCTGACGCTGAACACCCAATAGCAATGGCTTATTTGGGAAAGGTAACAGTGACTTTCGATTGTCGCGTGAATTTGTATATTAACTTATAGTAATGCGTTTTTAAATTTCAGATATACTTAGAGGGTAGCGATAAAGTAGAACAGGACAACAAAACGGCATACAAATACTTTAAAAAGGCTGCTGAGCTTGGGAATCCTGTCGGACAAAGTGGCTTAGGTCTTATGTATCTTTATGGACGGGGGGTTGAAAGGGACACCACGAAGGCTCTACAGTATTTCAAGCAAGCTGCAGAACAGGGCTGGGTCGATGGACAGCTTCAACTTGGCAATATGTATTTCAGTAAGTTTCTGTCAAAATTCACAAGTGTTACACGGCTTTCCAATTTCCATCGCCATTTCAAACTAATAAAATTTTGTTTCAACAGGTGGGACTGGAGTGAAACCTGATTACAAATTAGCTATCATGTACTTTAGCATGGCCAGTCGATCTGGCCATGTTTTAGCACTTTATAATTTAGCTCAAATGCACGCCACCGGCACAGGTATGACACGCAGTTGCACGACTGCAGTCGAGCTTCTAAAGAAAGTCGCTGAACGGGGGAAATGGAGTGACCAATTGATGGCTGCCCATACAAACTATAGAGAAGGCAAAATCGACGAAGCTTTCGTTAATTATGCCCTTCTTGCGGAAATGGGATATGAAGTTGCACAGAGCAATGCTGCTTTTATACTTGACAAAGGGGAGACTACGATATTTTCGGAGGAAGAGGGTTTGGTCAGAGCATTATCTTTGTGGGATAGGGCTGCTGCACAAGGATACTCTGCTGCTCAGGTATAAATATACAAAAATCACCATATTTTGAACTTCCTAAACCGAGCTAATTGAACTTACTCTCTATTAGGTAAAACTGGGAGATGCTCACTATTACGGCAGAGGAACGAAAGTTGACTACGAGGCTGCAGCTAATCACTATCGATTGGCCTCCGAGCCAGATCCAAATGCACAGGCTATGTTTAACCTTGGGTACATGCATGAACGTGGTTTAGGTTTAGCAAGGGATCGACACTTGGCCAAACGGTGTTACGATCTTGCTGCAGAAGCCAGCCCGGACGCCAAAATCCCCGTTGCGTTGGCGCTTATCAAACTCTCCTTCCTTTTCGGTTTGGATTATCTGCAGGAGTTTAGTCTTGTTGATCATCTGAATAAATGGGACCAGCTCTTGGGCCAGAACTGGGACTTATATCTTATAGGACTGCTCACTGGCATGCTCAGTTTAATTATTTACTTCCGCAGGCCGCAGCCACCACCTCCGCCTAGAATTAATTAGTTCTTTACTATTTTTCTTTTTTCGTTCCCAGGCCGTTTCTTTTTCTTTTAGATGAAGTCAAATTTGTTACTGATGGTTCATAAATACACGCACGTGCGTGCATAAGGACATGTTGTTTTCATTGAACCACCTTATTTGCACAAGAACGTTCTAGAAATTCTAAAGGAATTCTCGTACTATTAACATTATCATACAGTGTGTGAGAGAATGTGTTGATTTATGCGTGAGTAGATTGTATTTATTTGAAGATATTCAGAGGTGTAGAAATGATTTATTATTAAGTTACATTTTTAAATCCTGAAATTTTTTATTTTTAGTATACATGATTTTGTAATTACATCTATTTGAAACAGGTAATTCAATTATAGAACTCAAAGACATTTACAAAGCTGACAATGTTCTTGAATTGAATGTTTCAAATATGAAGCGTATACTCATTATTTCATTTTCAAAGAATATATATGTTTTAGTTTTTAAATTCTAAAATATTCACATTTTGATTTACATTAGATTTTTAAGTTTTCAATTTGATATTTTTTACACGTATATGTATAATTGATTTGAAAAAAAATATATATATATGTATGTATGTATGTAATACAGATATTAAGAGATATTAGTGCTGTATATTTTTAAACTCGTAAATATGTCACGAGTTTCATACATGATTAAAAAATGAATTCATAAGGACTTTAGACTTTAGAAGGCTTAGAGTGTTTAAACAATAGAGCTCAAAGATGATTTCACAAGTATGCTGCATTTTTGTCTAAGAATTTATGATTGATATCACAAGGGACCTTCTAATTATTATTAAAACACAATTGATGAGAAAATTATTTTATTTTCATTAATTGTTTATTGATCTCTCCGTCGTCATGGAGTCAAAAATGATCGATCTAACGTAGATTACGTTCACGTTGCTTATCACTGTTATTACTTTACCGGGCAACAATAATTTAAATTGATTGACCGTGTAACAAACAAATTTAGCTAATCAGGATTATGAAGGAAAAGGGAAAAAAACGTAAAGGTGGTAAAAAGAAGGTAAAAAAGAAATGTGTGGATGAAAGAGAGACCCTGTCTTATGAACAGGAAATTTTGGATAACAATAGGCAATTGGCACGGTAAATATATGCATAAAAGTAACGTATTTCTACGCACATAAAATTCTTTTGAATTTTTAATACTTCCAATATGTGGTGTATGTAGAAATATGAAGTGTAGAATGTCACCTCGAATCCCAAGGTGCAGATAAATGTAAATAACTATCCAAATAATTCTTTACAAGCTAGTCTGAGAACACGTAATGAAGAATTGGAAAAAGAGGCGGAGCAAGTGAAAGAAAAATTTCGACAACTGGAAGAGGATAGGTCAGATGTAATTGCTTATTTGAAAAGAAACTTAGAGGAAAGAATAGAAGAATCAAAGGAACTTACTGAGCGATTAGCAGCTTTGGAAGAATTACGAAAAGAGGAACTATCTGCTTACAAGAAGAAGGAAGAAGCAATGGAGCTCGAATATCGCACCATGGAGAACAATCTCAGCGCTGAAGTTAAATTAATAAGTGAAGTATATACGTTACTTACATTTATATCATTTATTCTGTTTTGATGAAAGATGTTGGCCTTGTAAACTACATTTAAAAATTTTCGACTCGTTTACTTATATGCAATCGTTCCTTAACTAGCTGGTAAATTGAATGCATTGGAAGATTGGCGAATAGCAAGGGTGGAACTGATGCAGAAGTTTGAAACTCAAGAAAAGGAAATTATAAAACAGGAACAGATAAACCAGGAAAAACTTTATGAGGCGGAGAAATCGTTGGTCATTGGAAAAGCAATGTATGAGAATAGAAATTCTTCTTTCTACTATTTATAATGTAAAATATTAACTAGATATATATATAACATTGTACCATTTAATGAAAGGATGAAGAGAGAAATGGAGGAACGTTTAAAAGCACTAGCTGTAACTCTTCGCAAAGCAACTAATTTGCGAGTAGCAGAGACCACGAACCGAGCAATTAGAGAAAACATAGCTTTGAATCTAGAACTGGATAGCCTGGTGAAAACATGTAAGGAACTTGAAATCACCAGTAGGGAAAGCAAGGAAAAAGAGCGTATGCTCAAGTTACAGTCTGAATTATTCGAAACAGAGTCGAGAATCACTTTAAAAACAGCAATGAAACAAAGAGACACTATTCACAAATTGGCAAATGTAAGATCTTTGTTTGAACTTTTTTTCATTGTTATTTGAAAATAAGAAAATAAAACTATTAAAATATTGTAGGAATTCGAATCGATGTTGTTGTACTATGGACAAGCAAAAAGAGACAATGATCAAATTGCTACGTATGAGTTAATTATTGAGCAGTTGAAACAAAAGTGTGAAAAAATTGAGCAGAAAATTCAGTTTCTGAAAAGGTGTGTGTTGAAGGCAAGAGATGATAAAGAGCAATTGTTATTACAAGTTGATAAGAAGGATAAAGAACTAGTAGGGCTTAAAAGCCTGCTGAATCGTGTAAGAGGTTGCATCATGGAAGCTTTAGAGGTGATAAATTCTTCAAAAGTTTTGTCAGCAATTCTTATATTTATCTCCTGATTAAACATTAACATTTTTTTACCTGTCTGCAATAGTTTATATGAAATTATACTCATTATAATAATTTTGCGATACTCTCGCAGCTTGAAGGAGATACTAGAGGTCAGGATTATTGTGCCTCACAGTTAAAACAGCAGTTTCTACAGTGCCTTTGGGAAATACTGGATACCAACAACATTACCAATGTTTTGGAACATACTGTATCACAGGTATACTGTTATTATATAAATTTTTTAACTATCAGTACCTTTATTATTATTATAATTACTGGATGTTACAAAAACTGAAGAGGGCTTGAAATGTCTTTAGATAGATTGGTGAAAGGGAAATAACCATGATTATAGTATGAAACTACTTGCTTGTGTTTGTTTAATATAAAGTTATTGTTTAAATGTTTTACACATGCGTACATTTTATAGATTGAAAATATTACATGCCGTTATGCGGAAGGTGACTTGGGCCTTATTGAACGTCCGAAAATTAGTAGATGTAAAACTGAAGAAAAGAAAGATACAGTCGAAGATAGTGTACAAACAAAATCTTCAGATCATTCGGTAGAAAAAGAACCATCTTTGCCCGACAGCGATATTAGTTCAAGCATTCATTCTCCTGTAGAGTCAATATCTAATTGTAAGTTATAATTCCTAATTATTTTTGTTATATCTTCTTCATTATACACAACCAAATTTACTATGTCAAAGATTTTGTAAAGTATTTTTCTTTTTGCTCATATGTATGTGCTGTGTGTATTTAAACATAAGGATTTTTATTTAGTATACAAACCTATAAACTTTACAGCATATGTACCTGCTTTAGAGTGTAAACATTCTGTTGAAAGTACTAGGGGAATTTCAAATTACTTCCTAGGGATAATTTCTTACTATGTAGATTGTACAGTTTTGTGTTGTATAGGTTAGGAATAGTTGCTTCTGTAGTTTGTAAATTAATAATTTGAAGAATTAAAGAAAATGCCTCATAAAAAGAGTCAGGCAAGGTCAGTGAAGTTGTTGTTATTGTTGTTTAATATATATTTGTTAATGTTTTTGTTGATTGTATGAAAACATTAAACA